TTCTGAGCAGATGTCTCTGTTTTTCTCTGCTAATAAAGTAGAACAGGTCCTTCCATCTGTGCTGGTGGAGGGGTGACAGACCTCAACCCCCAGATCAACACAATGAAGAGGAAATCAACACAAATCCTGTTTACGCTCCACATCACAATGTGATACGTTAAACACATTTCCCTCGTTTTACAACAAATACCAGCAGCACAATAGTGAAGCGTAAGACCGCTTCTTTTAAGTATAAAAATTTAAGAACAGACGTGTTTTTCATGAATCAGTGCAGATAAAAAAGGCTGTAATTTAGTTTTGGTGTTGTTATATGTGAGAGCTGCTCACCTTCCAGAGATTATAGAGTCAAATTATTCAATAGGTGGTGTCCCTGCATGACTTTGATAAATAGCTCAGTTTAACCTCGGGTTAAACTCCAACACAAGCAGCATGTAAGTGCAGCATTTAAAACATGAAGCAGGATCACCCACCATCTTTCCATTGTGTGCATCACAGTGCAGAACAAAAATGATACCAAAAGCATTCCACACATTTTAATGCCATCATGCGCTCCATTTAATTGACAAATATGATTATAAACTTAATGTAGTAAATACAGATAATAACCAGAATGTGCCTTAATCTGTGTAAGTGTAATTGATACATAAAAACTGGTTTAAATATATGGAATAATTGCAATTGTTCTCTGTGTTTGTTTTCTTGTTGCACATTTTTTTCTGTTATTCTTATCACTTCCAGTGCTCTCCCTGACTCCACTTCTGTCTCCCTGACAGATGTTTTACCTGCAATCACTTGGCACAGTCACAACATGCCACTCATGTTCTGACTGCCATTCATCATTAAACAAATGAGCTATTGACAGCATGGAAAGAAACACCACAAAGTTAACAAGACTGTTTACCACACGAAGACATATTTATTTGCAGGTCAAAACCATTTAATGCATCACCACTTATCATTAAAGATATTCGCAATCTGAGGACATTAGTAAAATTTTCTTTTATTATCGTAAATAAAACTTGAATTCAGTTTATTTACTGTATGAAGCACTAAGTCCTAACAAATGTCCTCTCACAGACAATTGTCAGCTAAAAACACCAATTAGTAAAAGTTATTCACCTAAGAACGACAGCAAATTGTGTCAGATCTTTACATTGTTGCAGTCCTTCATCCTGAGCAGCACTTGGTGACCGTGAGACGACTGCCTTTTAACAGAACCCTCCAACAGAACCAGAACCGGTCACAGGATAGGTGGCCATCTGCCTCAACTAACAGGTTGGAGCGAACAACTCCAAGTAATGGGAGTGAATAGCATCAATGTGCTTTTGCTCATTTTAAAATATGTCAGAAAAAAGTTTAGGAAAACTCAGGTTAATACAAATTGTTTAAACAGTTCTTGAACTCCATTAAGGTTATTTTTACCATGACCTAGGAATATCTTTAACAGTCTAATATGGGAATTACCATATTTTCCGCCGTACACGTTGCTCCGCACTATAAGTCGCATCAGTCCAAATATGTCTAATAAAGTGGAAAAATACATAAATACGTTGCATCTATTATGCGTCACCGCTGACGCGTCGCGTTTGTTACATGTCACTGCAGACAACCCAGAAATGTGGGCCGGTGTTGTGCCAAAAATCGACTGGCTGCCAAATGGCAGCCGCGGGGGCTTGCACGGGAGGACTTTAACAAGAATTTAACAAGATTAACACTTAAAAACAATTACTTGTTTGCTCAAAATTATAGCAAAGGCATGTCTGAGTCTTACTTTTCCTTAATAAATGCACTTTGACGGTCAAATCAGTTGTATTTCAAAAGCCGATACACAGAAACATGAAAGTGCAGAGGGCATGCAATACTACTGACTGCCATCTAGTGGCTGAAAATGGTAGTGTTCTATATTTTCAGTCAGAATGAATGAAAACGGTCATATCTCAGCCAAAAATTGGTTTATAAATATGGGAAAAAAAATCCATAAATACATCACTTCTGTGTATAAGTCACAGGGAATGCAAATTATGCAAAAAACTGCGACTTATACGGCGAAAAATACAGTAACCTAAAACTCCTGCCAAACTCGTAGTCAAAGGTCAAGACACGGGGCGAATTCTGGACAAGTCACTGGTCTAGGAATTAAGAGAACTAAGAAAAAGCTCACATGTGCATGGGGAAAACATGCAAACTCCATGTAGACCCTGCACCTAGAAACTCAGTGTTGTGTATGAAATATTACATCTGCCCTTTGTAAACTCAGTAGTTTAAATTAGTTAAATATATTATATTTATTTGTTACCTTGAAAGGCCTTTATGTAAAATGTGCATTTAGGTAAAAGCACTGTATATATTTTTATTAGAAAATATGGCTTTTGAAATGTAACTTGCTCCTATTTCTTATCTTTATATTTCCAGAGGTGATGATAGATTAATTCATTAAGAGCTGACCTAATTTAGAAAATGTAAAATGACATAAATATGTGTCAGTCTTTTCTGACATCTGTTACCTGTGTGAAGTCGCACAGACTCCGTTCACAAACAACCTAATGAGAATGTGCTTCTGCTGACACTGTAGACTTTCACTGGAGCGAAAACTTAGTTTGAATCTACGTCAGCATTTATATATCAGTGTTGAAGATCTCAACTGCTGACAGGATGGCTCCCAGTATTTATGTTGTGATAAAAGAATACAGGTGAGCCAGAATGATGAATGTCATAAAATCTGAGTTCCTGGATCTTTATTCCCTGGAGTAAATCCAAATTTAGTCAATAACTGTGTTGTGTTTGTATTACATATAGAGCATGTAGTACTTTTTATAAAAGAAACATTTTAATATTTACAAGACTTCTGTATTTTTAAGCGCATTATGAAAAGCTTTTTTGTTTTATCTTATAGTGCTTTAAAAATAAAATGTAATGTGGTCTTAGGTACACTAATGTATAATCCTCCTGCTGCCTTTGGGTCAAAATGATTCGTGAGGCGTCAGTTTTAAAACTGAGACCTTAGGTATTTTGAGCCAACAGCAGCAAGAAGGTTAATAAAAAGCAGTAAGCTCCTTTACTCTTTTTTTTTTCCTGCACTATAAGATAAAACA